AAATCTATTTTACCAGAAATAAATGTTTATATGTTACTTGTAGTGAAAATTCCCAAACACTTTTTAAAAAATCTTAAACAGTACTCAGCCTTAAAATCTTAATTACAGGTTTCTACACTCATTTTTATTTTCTCAGCTAAAGGAATCTTTTAGAGCTGCAGTATTTGTAGACAAATGTCTATGAAACAGTGAGCCACTAACCTTGTATTCAGTGGGGGCTCACACTGTGGTAAATATAGTATGCTTCATTAAAAATAGTAGCAGCAGCAAAAGCAGCAGTGGTAGTGATGATGATGATAGCTAACATATTTCTTTCTAATGTTTTAAGTATACCAGACACCTCTGTGGGGGTTTTTTTCCTGAATTTTCTCAGTTATTCCACATTATTGCCTTTTGAAATAGACACTGTTTCTATTGCCATTTAACAAAGAAAACTGAGTCTTAGAGAAGATTGTTCACTTTCCCATTTGACATGTAACTGTTGGCTCATTGGAAAAGTCATGATGCATTTTTGCATAGAAAAACAGAAAAATACCTCATGACTTTTCTGACAACCCAATACTGAGTGGTCACTCCAGGATTCAAACCCAGCAAGCTCCTTCTATTTCCCAGGAGTTTTGTGACTCTCTTCCTCCCCTTTTCCTCCTATCTATGATCAATATCTCCTCAAAAAGAATTATTTCAAATAAGAAAGAAACTAAGAGACAACAAACATTAAAAAAAAAGGAGTTAATACTCAAATTCTTGAAATGACTTGAAGTTGTCTCATACTCCACAATAATTTTCTGCCTGTGTATAAATACCAAGCCCATATTGTAACAGAATATTCATATTATTTTTTGCCTATTTCATATTCATATTAGGTTTGAATATGAAATATTTCTTTTCTGGTTAGGGACACAGTCATTGGGGGATTTAACATTTTATATTCTTCACTGAAAACACACACACACACATACACACAGTCATCTTTTTTGTAGGCTAGTGCTCACAGTATTTTAAATTTCTTCACACACCATGATCACCACACAAACAATTCCCTGTGGTGTGTACCATTGTAAATGGAATTCAGAAAGAAAAAAAAGGGTGTGTGAAGTCTATTGTATTTTTGAATTTACACTCCTTCTGAGGTCTGGAGTTATCCCAGTAGTAAATTTTACAGCAGTGGGCAAAACTGATCAAGGTCATGGTTCCTAGTGTGAATGACACTTGAGTAAAGCCCAAAGTGGTCAGCATGTTATTTTAGGAAGAGGGAAGACCAGGTCTGTTTAGTGAATGTTTAAGAAAGAGAAAAGCAAAGCTGCAATTGAGAACCTTTGTGTTTAGATAAAGGCCGTAGCCGTTTCAGTGCTAGTCAAGGTCAGTGGGAGTTTTTCTTTTCAATCCTACATCTTCATAAAATCTGGGAAGTACTGTGTTGGTGCTCAGTTATGATGTCCTTAGGTATAAAAATCTTAACACACATTGTGAATACAATATTTCAGAAAAATAAATGTCAGCACAATTTTGCTTTTCAAGTGTTAACGTATATTAAAAAGCTCTGGTTTAAAGTAACGGCACTATTTTACTACTTCTTACTATGGAGTCTTTAACTTCATTGTAGCTTGCCATCTCCTTCAGGGAATTTGTAAAATTCTAGCATACTTTGTAACTTATAGATAATTTTTCTAACCTATAGATTATATTATTAGACTCATTACACATCTTGCATTTTTTAAAATTTAAACTGCTTTATTGATTATCAAGTATATTGATATTGTCGTTGATATATGAAAATACTGCAGATATTTAATGCATGCAGTCTGATAAGTTTGAACATATGCAAACACTTATGAAATGATCCAAAAGTGTATCCTCTTATATCTATATTTTCCAAGCAGCAACTCATGAGTGAGGGGTAGCTTCCAAGATTATTCAACTGAGAAAAGTAAATTATTTTGATTATATATCCATTCAAATTTTATTTTTATTTTGTATTCCTAAGCTTATACATGCATGACCTATTGTGGATTTATCACAAATACTTACTTAACAATTGAGTCCTGGGACCAGCAGTTGACCTAATGGCTATGTTGCTGGACTCCCATGTAGTAGACCATGGTTCGAGACCCAGACCCAGTGGCTTAAACTCATGCCAGGCGCATATGCGTGTGTGCCCAAGATCCCGAGAGGAGAATGGAGGAGAAGAGTTTGTGGTGTGGCCATCCCTCCTGGGGAGGTGATTTCTTGCTTTCTGTCTCTATCTCTCTCTGTTTTTCTGGTGAGCATGCACACCCTATAGCAAAAACCTCTCCAAAACAAACAAAAACAAAACATGCAAACAAAAAACAATTGAGTCCTTCGTAAACCTTGTAAAAAAAAAAAAAAAAAAGACCTTGGAAAAAAGTAACCAAGCTATTGAGCACAGTTTCATGAATGCTTATATCATCAATTAAAGATTTAATGGATGATAGATAATAAGCTCTTTAAAAAATGCAAATACCACACTCTGGAAAATAAGGCCTGTTAGTCCCTCATATCTTGATATATATTACTTTTGTCACTGTGGATTCAACTTAAATGATAAAGGGAAAGGAAGGAGAGTAATTTTGGTCCATAGGAAATTTCTAGAAAAGGCAACTCTTTAAAATGATGTGTTTTACCTCAGAGGGGCTTTTAAATAGTGTGGATGTCTGGGGAAAAAAAAATAAGGAGAATGGAAGGAAAGGTAGAAATTCCAAAAAGAAAAAAAAGTACCTTTCTTTTTTTCTTTTTAAGCTTTTTGCCATAGAGTGCATACACTTGGACAAGAGAGAGGGAAAGTGAGAAATCACCCTGCAGCAGGGATGGCCATGCTTTAATCCCTTCCCTCCACTGTTGTCTCGAAATTTTAACCATGCATGCACATGCATCCAGTGTGATTTTCAAGCTCTGGGTCTGAGACTCAAACCTTAGTCAGCTGTATGGGATTCCTTAACCACTATGCCACCTGCTGCCCTCCACCCAAAGGAAGTACTGTAATTGCTTTTGCTTTTTAATAGCAGCATCTATGCCCTGTGTCTTTAGAAACTGTCTCTCTTCTGCTTTCTTAGAAAAAGTTAGTGATATCGGCTTTAGTTTCTTGATAAGGTTTGGAAATCCAAATTTATTCATTATGTGCAGTTTTATTTTAGAATAGAACATTCTGGTAAAGTAAAATATGCCAGGATATATACAGATTATACACTCTTGAAGAATAGGAGTCCAACCAAATATACTAAAATGATGATAAAGTACCAGTGTTTAATTTTTATTATATATACATACGAACACCAAAGGACAAATAGTAAAATAAAAACTATTCTTCTTTTTAGAAATATCAATTATCTCAATTTCTTCTGGTCCCCATCCAGTTCATGACTGTATATTTTTTACAGAGTTAAAAAATACACTGTAGATAAAAATTGTGTTCTAGGGAGCTGGATGATGACATAGTGGTAAAACAGCATTCAGCAATATTGATGCACATGGGAAAGTTCTGGGTTTGCATCCAGAGTACTCCCTGAGTACACCAAGCATTTACATGCCTGTGGTCCAGGGCTGGCTGGGGCTAGGTATGTATCATGGCATTGAAATCCTGTGGGGTATCTTGTTTCTCTGTGTCACTGTCTCTCTTACTTGGAAGAAATAAATAAAGAAAACTTTGTCAAATACGACATTCTTTTATCTACACAGAAAATTATATTCTTTTTATAGCAATCACTGTGTACATTTACTACATAGTAGACCATTTGGTTGACATTTTCTTTTAATATCCCTGCATTAAACATTAAAATTGTTTCTCTTTTTTCATTATTTCTGTTAATGAAGATCTTTTTTCGTACAGTATATTTATCTTCTTTTGAATATTTTATTAGAATAAAATACCAAAAGTGACATTACTGGGTGAATGGGAATGTACATTTCCATGTCATTTGGTGTCTGGTGCCAAATTTTCCTAATAGACTCTGTTTACCACAGTAGCACATGAATGTACTAATTTTACCAGTTTTCACAGCTTTGAATTCTATTTTATGTAAGTTTAATTTGTGTCAAATTGTACCTTCTTGATTTAGTATTTTTTATTACTTGAAAGTTTACTTTTTTCTTTTTTCAAATAAAATCATTTTATTCTTTGTTTTGTTTGAATCATCAATTCCTATTCCTCTGTCCATTATCAATGGCTTAACCCTCCATGTTGGATTTGATATACCTCTCTTAACAATTTAACTTTATCTTAATGCTTAGAAGCTTTGTCCATGTATTTGCAGGAGTGTTTAATAGAAATTTTGGTTTGGTATGTTTCCCATAAACCTATCATTAGTCAACCTCTTTCCTTGAAATATGTTTCAAGTGGTGAAATGGCTAGTTTGATAATACTTAACTTTTAAAGACAAAGAAGAAAGCAGGTGATTTGGTTAAGCAAGACTATTATAATTTTCACTTTTATCCTAATTTAAAGTTGGATATTTTAAAGGTATTATCATCCTTCATTCTTTTTATAACTGGGATCGCACCTCTGTTCTTTGTTCAGTATTTTCTGTATGCAGGTTTAGTTGAATGCCAGTAGATGGCACTAATTACATAAACAATTCAACAAGTTAATGAAGAATGAAAGAAATGAATGATACATTTTTTTTCTGTTCAAATTTTATTATATATCACATACTCAACAATTATATAGTAGCTTAGTTTTATAGTTAGCTCTCCCATGACAAAAAAAAAAAATTAAGCTTTCTGTGTTTCCTATTAATTGCTACTAAAATAAAATGTGGGACACTTTTTATTGCTCAAGATGCTGCATTTGAAAAGTTTTGTCATGAAAAGTGGGTTAACATATACCGTCATGATTGACTAAAACACATGATAGATGAAAAGCAATCATGTAGACATGTTCTGACCTGAGGATTCAAAAGCTATGTAAGGAGCATTTTAAGAAACTCCAACTAGAGATTTCAGGAAAACAAACTGACACTCATTCTCTTTCTCATTCACATCTATAGCAGTTGGCCAAAGACATCCGTCAGTGGCAGATAAATATAGATGTGGCAAATGACTTGGCACTGAAACTTCTCCGGGATTATTCTGCAGATGATACCAGAAAAGTACACATGATAACAGAGAACATCAATGCCTCTTGGGGAAGCATTCATAAAAGGTATGAACTACATTATTTCTACAACTATTGTTGGCTATAATGATGAAGTGGTGGCACTGGATGGACAAGGAAGATTTGTTTTGCCCAATCTTGCCAAACAGGGGTTTGAGAGGATTCAGGATGACAAATGTCAATGATACGCACAGGCTTGGCTCAGTCTCCTGTTTTAAAGATGAGAAACCTGAGGTCTAGTGAGATTGAATGATTTTCTCACTGTCACAAAGATAGTAGTACATTATCCATGTGAGTAGACCAAAACAAAATACTGCTTTATAGCTCAAAGAACCATTTATCTGTCTGCTTTGAGAACTCTATCTAAAGAAATATCTTCAACTAGCCCCATAGCTTACGCATTAAGGGAGCTGACTCCCACAGGGTTGTCTGTAATTCGAACCCTGGCCCTAGTGATTTGAAAAACATGATGGGTTTATATGTGTGTTTGCCCAAAATCCTCACAGGAAGAAGGAATGAAGGAAAAAGAGTTGTGGCATGACCACTCTGACAAGAGCGTGTACCCTCTAAAAATAAAAAATAAGGGACCATCAGATAGCATAATGGTTACATTGCTGTACTCCCATGTAGCCGACTGCAGTTCAAGTCCTGGACTCGATGACTTAAAACTCACATGGGCACGTGTGCATGCATGCCCAAAATTCCAAAGGGAGAATGGAGAAGGGATTGCAGCATGACCATTCCCCAGGGTGGTGATTTCTCACTTTTAGTCTCTTTATCTCTCCAGCAAGCACATGTGCCCTATAGAAAAATCTCTCAAAGTAATAATAATAATAATAGATAAAATATTTCTTGGAACATGTGCCCATCATGGCACATGCTGCCCCTTTCTTAATCTGACAAAGAAGTTACTTTGGGATTCTTGATAGAGTTGTAACTTTCCATGGTGCCATGATTATAGTCCACATACCCAGTGGTAAAATCTGTGTAGAATCATATGACCCATGACTGCATTTTGCATTATGCATCTATGGAAATGAACAACTCTTAGAGATACTATCTCCTCAAATTTAGTCCTACCTTATTATCACTCACTCTCTTCATCCGTTGTGCTTTTCTTTCATTAGTGCTTATTCCAATTATGAATAAAAACATGAATTATGTAGCTAACTGTTTAATGTTTGCCCTCCAAATTAGTCTAAACTCCATGATAGCAGAGACTATGTACTTCTCACTTGATACCTCCTCCCTGAATCAGGGAGCTAGTCAATATGTGTTGAATGATAGTTCCCTTTATAAAATGTGGAATTACTTTTCACATGCTGTGGTACTTAAGGATTGTTGGGTGCTTGTATTTAAGTTGTGTCAAAAAACAGAGGCAAAAGTAGTGCCTATACAAAGATGAGAAAGACCACAATGAAAGGTGAGTTCTAGAAGATAACCTGATTTACTGAAAAGTCAGTCTAGTGATCTTTTTTTATATTCTTTTTTTTTTTTTTTGGAGAGGTTTTTGCTACAGAGCACAGGACAGAGACAGAGAGACAGAAAGTGAGAAATCACCCCCTGGGGGGATGGCCACACCTCAATCCCTTCTCCCCCATTCTCCTCTCTCAGGATCTTGGGCACACACGCAAGATGTGAGTTTAAGCCACCCAGTCCAGGACTCGAACTGCGGTCAACTACATGGGAATCCAGCAATGTAGCCATTATGCTAACTGCTGGGCTTAGTGATCTTTATTAGAAAGAAAAGACCACCACTGGGGTGGGGGTGGGGGGGAACAAAGTAAAACAAAACAAAACAAAAAAACAGTTGTTTAACTAAGAGCAGAAAGTCTTAGGAGTAATGAACTTCTATAATGATACACAGAAATTAAGAAACCAAGTAAATCTTAAAACTGAGCTAGAGATTGAAGAATGGACACTCCTGCGAAGTTTGATTTAAGCTGGTGATCCTGGGAAATGGAACAGCTCTAGTCCTGAATTCCAAATAGCAGGTATTCAGATGTCCATGGGAAAGACGATTTGATCTAGAGTCGGCGGGCTTTATTTGAGCCTTGATCAAAAAGGACTCTAGGGAACCAGCAGCTAGCGTAATGGCTATGTCGCTGGATTCCCACGTAGTCGACCGCGGTTCGTGTCCCGGACCCGGTGGCTTAAAACTCACGCCGGGTGCGTGTGCGTGCGTGCCCAAGATCCCGAGAGGAGAATGGAGGAGAAGGGATTGTGGCGTGACCATCCCCCCTGGGGGGTGATTTCTCACTTTCTGTCTCTATGTCTCTCTCTGTCTGTCTGGCGAGCACACGCGCCCTACAGTGAAAATCTCTCCAAAAAAAAAAAAAAAAAAAGGACTCTGGTATATGAAGGCAAACTTAAATAGGGGACTGATATTTGGAAAACAGTCTCACAGTCACTGTTTCCTCTCAGTGGCAAGGTTTGAACTTTCTTCTTCAACTATAGATCTTCTACCTGTTCAGTTAAACAAGGGCTGATTAGGTGCGGAAAGAATTATTCATGTGAAATTAATTGATATCAGAGAGTCGATAGTTGCATCTCAGTGGGAAATACCTGATTCTCAAAGAGAAGCCTCTTTGTAAAAGCAAATTAAGATCAGAGATTAACTTGGTGAGTTTAGGGAATGTAAACTAGGACGGGGCCAAGAAAGCTCATTTGTGATATGAACCAAAGGCTTCACAGAACTGATCTATTCCATCTTCACTACTCTTTCTGGCAGACTCCTTTCTGCATTCTCATGCCCCTTGATGCCCCCAATCAACTGTCACTTCTTTTGATCACTTTATTAAGGTCTTTGGAAGTATTGCCAGTAGATTTATTTCATCTTTGTCCCTAAAAAGTTAACAATTAAGGTCGATATATAATTACTTCCCCAATGAGTGAAGTAAATTAGAATTTTAGAAGCCAACTTACATTTTTAGTTTGGCCCATGCAGAATCTGCAAGTTGCTGAGCTAATCTTGACTCATGCCTAAAAGTTTTTTCCTGCTTTTTTCTAACTTTACATCTCTTTGTGAAAGACCATCCACTTGTATAGTTTTAGTCTGCTGATGGTGACCCATCTATATTTCCAGCTGAGAATGATCTTTTGGAGTTTTAGGCCTGTATATCCTACTCCCTTCTTTCCTTTTTAATGTCGTATGAGAACTTACTGTGGTACCTATCCAGTGAACATTACCACATTCCATCTAGTTGTTCAGTTTTGAGACCTCAGTGTCATGTTTGTCTCTTCTTTCTGCAATATCCGTAGCTAAGCTACTTTATAGATACTAACTGCCTAAGTAGCTTTTGAGTTTAGTCATCTCGCTCCATTCCTGTTCCTCAGTTATTATATCTTGCCTGAATTACTACATCATTCACCTAACTAGGTTTCCTTCCTTCTACTTCTAGTATTTATGCTTCCCATACATTCTCTATAGAGAATCCAGGATGAACATTCTATTGTAAATATCATATATCTATGTAGCTCACTCACATTCCATTTTTAAAGCCATTAAGATCTTTCTTATTTTGGGACCAGCAGTTAGCGTAATCGCTATGTCACTGGACTCACATGTAGTTGACTGCAGTTCAAGTCCCAGACCCAGTGGCTTAAACTCACGTCAGGTGCATGTGCGTGCGTGCCTGGGATCCCAAGAGGAGAATGGAGGAGAAGGGATTGCAGTGTGGTCATACCCCTTGGGGGTGATTTCTGTCTTTCTGGTGAGCACAAGCGCCCTATAGCAAATAAATAAATAAATAAATAAATAAA